TAAATTAAATTAGTCAACATATTAACAATATTATTATTTGAATTGTTAAAGTGTTTTCTAATCTTAATTTAATTAACAATAAATTTTTTTTACAAATTAAATTAATAATCTAATATTTTTTAATCTACTATTTATTCTTAAAACAAAATAAAAAAAGCCCAATTTAAATTTGTAAGCTTTTAAAACAGCTTAATTATCAAACATAATTATAAAATATTGAGATTTTAAAACATATTTAAAAACCAAAGTAATAGTTTATAACTTTATTAAAATAAAAAACATTATATATTTATATTTATATTTAAAAACAAATTTGTAAAAAATATTAAAAAAGCCAAAGTTTTTAACTAATTTTTTAATATAAATTAATAACATAAAAAAATTCAAATTTTTTAAAATACATATTATAAAAATATATTTTGAAAAATTTTAAATATTACTTTTTAATAAACCAATAAGTATTGTATTAAAAAAAAATAAAACACTTTTTAATATATTAAAATATATTATTATTGCATTAAATTAACTTAACACAATTTTTTTTTTCTAATATTTAAATATGACTTAATAAAAATTATTATTCAAAACAATAAAAAAACTTTTATTTAATGCTTTAATAATTAAGTTATTAATATTAAAAACTTAAACAAAATTCTTTTAAACCAAAGTTTTAAGATAAAATCTAATAATAAAAACAAAAAACAACTTTTTATACAATATTTAATAAAAAACAAACATCTAAAAATGATTTTAATTTTGTATACATGTTTTATAATATTATTATTAACAATTATAATTATTTTTAATTTTAATAATAATTAAAATTAAATTATTTGTTTTCTTATGTTATCTTACTATAATATTTTATTTTTTAAATCAAGTTGTTTATAAAAATTAAACAAAAATAAAACCAATTTAGCATTTAATAAATCTTATTTTTGAATTTTACTCTCAAAACAATTATTTTAAATCAAAGTTAATATTAATTAATATTTTATTTTTTAAAAATTTTAATTTTATTTCTATATTTTTATTAAAAATCAAAATCAGAACAAAAACCAACACTAAAAATAAAGTCTTAATAAGACATATACTTATAAAAAGTAAAAAAAATTTAATTAAAATATTAATTTGGTTAATCAATAACTTAAAAGGAATTTTAAGTCTGTTTATTCTCAAAACCAAATTATTTGAAACCAGAAAAAAAGATTGAATTTAAAAAATACAAACAAAAAACAAATTCATTTTTAATTAAATATTTATTTATTATCTAAGCTTAAGATTTATTGTTAAAGTTGTAAAACCACCAATAAAAACAGATTTTATAATATATATATAAATAAAATATTATTTAATATTATTTAAAAACTGTTTTCTAGATCGTAAAAAAGTATAATAATAGAATTGTATTTCAAAACAACGTATTTAAAATAATTATAGATTGTAAATTTAAAGAGATTAAATTTAATTACATGAAAATAGTCTTTAAATTTTTTTAAAATTAACATATAATTTATATATTTATGTTTATTAATAAAATATATAATAAAAAATAATATATATTCTTTTTAACTTATAATTTTTTATTCATATTAATTTTTGCTATATACATAATCTTTTTTTTAATAAAAATAAACCAAATTAAAACAACATTATCAGTTTGGCTTAATTTAATAAATTTTATTACAGTCTTTTGCCAAAGATTAATTAATTAGAATTGATTAACTTAATTTCATTATATTTAAAAAATACAGTTATAATAGTATTTTTTAATAATTACTTTTTAATTCAAATAAATATTTGTATATTTAAAATCAATATCTAAAATAAAATTTTTTTAATAGAAAACACAAATTTTTTCTTAAGCAAAAGAAAAAAAGTTAACAAAAAAGCAATTTTTAATAATAAAAAAAATTATTTTATTTTTATCATTATTAAATACATTATAATTTGACATAATAAAAAGTTTTATTATTATATTTTTAATAAAATTTGTCTTAAATATTATCACTATTGAACTGTTTTAATAATATTACTTTTTATTATTATTATTAGTTCCAGCTGTCTTTTTTTATTTTTATTATTGTGTTTTGTTTTCAATTTTTTTTTTTAAAGAATTATTAGTATTATCAAAAGTTCAAACATTTTTTTTGGTGCCAATTTTTTGCTGTTGTCAAAATTAAAACTTTTTCAGTCTTGTTTTTGGTTATATCTTTAATAAAGCTATTTAATGCAGCCAGTTTCTAAATAAAAAAATTTTCTGATTCAATAATGTATGAATATAAAATAAAAAAATTCTTTCAAAAAAAAAATTTTTCTTTTTTTGGATATTTCAGATAAATGAGAGAAAGAGTTTTTTATTTTTTTTATTTATTAATATATATATATATATTATTCAAGTTTATATTTTAAATTTTTAAGTAATATTTACATGGTGAAAATTTGCGAATAAACTCTTATGATCTGAAATTTAGTTGTAAAAATGACTTGGGAAGTCCGAAAAAGAAAAGATATACAATATCTAAGATTGTCAACTTTATTATTAGTCTATGAATGTGCCTTTAATCATTCTATCTGATACCATATAGGGAAGCTTGCTTTTGAATAAGTTCCATTGGTTCACAAAGATCCTTCTACTACTGCGGCCCTATTTTTTCTGAATGAGTTTAAATCTAAATTTAAAATTATCAAGTAGCAAAGATTGATGTATTTAGGTATGGTGATATAGACAAAACTTTTAGAACAGACCTTCTACATTTTATAACTAAAAATACTTAAAACTTTGCAAGATTTATAAAGCCTCAAATTTATTCCCTCTCATCAGTTGGTGGTACAATGAATTTCTCGACTGAATTTGTAGTGATATTTTCTTGGTCAGCAGTAATATTTGGTTTGGATAAATTATTGATCCTAAATCCTTCGTTTACGAAAAATAGGATCAAGTTTGCGGTTCTATGTTTTCAATTATAGAGGGAAAATTTTTATTAGGGTTATTTTATTTTGCTTTCATTAAAAGGATGTGGAGAGAAAGAGAGGGAAAAGTCTGGAAAGCAAGGAGAAAAGTGCATACCCACTGATGTTACTCGAAACGGCGAATAAAATGTGAATTAAAAAATGTTCGTTTCTCTAATTATGGGTTACAAAGAGAAATCATTAGCTATTGTTACTGAACAATTATTAGTAACAAAGATTCAAAAATACTAATAACATCATAATGAGTAATTAGGATTAATCCCACCAATTTCTCTGAGATAATTACTGAATGTGAAAATAAAATTGATATTATTATCTTGAATTAATATACTTATAACTGGGAGAGGCACATTATATTTTAACTTTTATACCCAAAACTAAATTAACAAAGAAAACAACAGTTTTTTTTAACAGATGTAAAAAAACCAAAATATTTTACAAAACTATTTATATATATTGTAAACTCAAAACAATTCAACTTACATAAACTAAATACAATAAAACCAAACTAAATTAAATTTTAAAAAATTTTTTATTAAAATAAGCAACAATATTCTTAAACTAATATAGTATTAAATTTTTTAGATTTAAATTTTTCTAATAATAAAAAGTAGTTTAAATAAATAAATATTTTTTTGTTTAATAATTAACTTACAAACATAATTTCAAATCTTTTAAAAGATTTAATTATTTTAAAATAAGACTTTTTATTAGCAATAATAAACAGCAACATGTTATTATAAAAATAAAAAACATTTAGATAAATATCAACAAAAAAAAATCACAAACCAAAATAATATTTATTATGTCAATTAGAAAATTGTTTACAAAGTTCTCAAAAAGTCTTATAAGATAATATAATAAATATATATAGTCTTTATTTGCAAACCTATTTTGTAATAATTAAAATATAACTAATGCTTTGAATTTTATAACAAATAAAAATTTGCTATAATTTAAATATTTTGTTAAAATTAATTAAAAATTTAAATTTTTTTTATAATAATTAAGATAAATACAATTTATTAAACAAATTAAAAATTAATTTTTATAATAAAATTTAATAAATTTAAATAAACAAAATTTGAATTTTAAACCTAAAAAAATACTTATTAAAAATTTATATATATATATATCAATTAAAATACTTAATATTTAATTCCGTAAAATGTATAATTATAAACAATTACAATTATTTAAATTTTCAAAAAGATTAAAAAATTAAAATTAGAAATTTAATTATTGCAAAATATAATAATTATTCAAAAAAATTATTTCTAAATATTATAATTATTAAAGTTTTAAAAAACATTAAAAATGTTTTTTAAAAAAGTAAAAAATTATTCAATCGATAATAACTTGATTTTTAACTTTGTTAATTAAATTATAAGCAAAAATTACTTACTTTTAAATCTCTTTTATACGACTTCTATAAAATCCATACAAGCTCATAAATTTATTTATCAACATCTTCAATTATGAGTTGCTATTTTTCAATTTCTTTAGTTCAGAGTTTCAAACTATTTCAGTCAATAAACACACAGAATACTTTATGCGGTTCAAAAGTAAAGTATATTCTCTGGGTTTTGCCAATGCCTGTTTTCTAAGTTTACAACATCCTCTCTTGAAATAATGCAAGGTGCTGTCGAAATTTCTCATATTAATCATTCGAGACTTCTAAAGCTTTTTATCGTCTTCGAAAATTGGTCCAGTTCGAATTCTCGAACACTCATAAATTCTATTGATAAATTTTGATATTCTAAATAGCTCATTATAAAAATAATAATCAGAATCCCCGCTACCATTACTAATAAAGATCTGACACAAAACCAATCCAATAGATTAATCAACGAACCATGAAGATATGGTAGATATCGACGACGATCTTGTTTAGGCTCACGTATAAGACATTAAACAGCTGGGACAAAGGTTAATCTCTCTTCGTTACTAACAGGACAAAAGAATGAGTTTCAGAAGTTCAAAGATCCTAACGAAATTTTCGATTTTGGTAAAATTTTCGAATAAGTTGGAGAACCGGGGTATCGATCCCCGTGCCTCTCGCATGCGAAGCGAGCGCTCTACCATTTGAGCTAGTTCCCCGTTTAGAACTCAGGATTTCACCTCTTTTTCAATTATTTTAATTTTAAATAACTGGATAACATGAAATTTTAAAGTTTATTTGACATCACAAAGATGTTCTGATAATGCGATTGGGGTTTTGAAGAAAAATCACAGATTTCCGAATTTAAAGGTTGTCCTCAGAAATCAAGTCGTTGAGTGGAGAAGTATTCTTTTTTGCTCCAAAGTCAATAAGAAAACTTGATATTTTTAACCCAAATTATATTAATCCAAAAAGTTTGTGCTGGAAGTTTGAGAATGGTTCTTGGCGAAATAATTGATTTCCTAAAAGTTAAGGAATTTAAAATTATATAAATGAACTTTTGCTTCCCTAACCTTTGTCAAATTCCAAAAGGTCATCATGTTAATAATGGTCCTCGACAATCTTTGAACATAGATATCAAATAACTAGTTTGATTTCAATTCCAAAAATGATCTAGATACCTGCAAAATGAACTTAAGTTATTATGTCGCTAATTTAAATGTTTCCTGCTTTTCATGGCATCGTAAAAAAATATACTTACATAATACAGCTGATTTGAAAAAAGTTTCTTTTGAGAACTAATATAATTTTTCAGTACAAGGCTTTGAGTATCTTTATTTTTTCGACAACTTTATTTAATTATAACATTTAAATTTCAACTTTAATTTCGATTAAAGTCAAGGATGATTATTGAAATTCCAAAAGAGATTCTTCGCCTTTAAAATATTGATAAGTTTGTGTTCTGTATCAAAAACTTGCTTATTGAATCATATTTTAAGGGTTTCTTTAAATGGATATGATGAGTTTAGTTTCTTTAAAGTTCACTTTAGAAAGTGATATTGAAAAAAATGTATATTAAATACAAATTTTTGCATAAGTCTTGATGGAAATGATTTAAGAAAATAATTAATTTTTTAAAAAAATGATTCACTCACACCAGACTCTTACTCTTGAAATTTATTAAATGTTTTGAGCCCTTGAAACTTGGCAAAACAACTAAATCATTCGAAGGTTATTTTTTCCCCAGGTTAAATAAAAAATTAGTGATGCAATAAAAATTTAAATATTTTTTTTTAAAAGAAAAAACTTTGTTTCACTTACTTATTGGCCAAAATTTTTAAATTAAAGAAAATTAGCTTCGAGAACTGTAGTGATAGGAGGTTATACAATTACTTAGCGATCATTTCAAATAATATACAGTGATACCTCCAATATGCACACGATAGCCTGGGACATAGAGCTAAGTGCATACCCTCTATATTCCGCAAATGCATGCATGATAATGACCAATCAGAAGTTTCTGATTGTTTATTAGGTAATGATAACTAATGTTAGTTCTAGTTGATTGGCTTGGTAGCTAGTCACGTTATTTGTAAAACAATATCTATTTCATTATTGGCTATTCAAGTGAATAAATATGTTTGGTTGCACTTATGGAATTTAAAAAAAATGACTTCATTTATAAGGGTGAATAACATGAGTTTTATACCTATTGGAAAATTTTCATTTCAAAGGTAACATTGTGACTTGGAGATTAAGCAGAATATCACTAATCTCTGATATTTTTTGATTACATAAAATCTCAAGTACATGTGTGTCGTAAATGCTGTCATTATTTTTGGCCACTTTCTATGTTATATGAAACTTTTGGCGTACCAAGATTAATGTAAATTGAACTGAATTTTCAATACAATCTGACTGCCATATAGTATAAAGATGGAATCCGTTACGGCAACCATGCTAATGGCAGTGATATCAATAGTTAGTGTTAAAGGGAACGCTTGCTTGTTTGCTTCAAATAAATTTTATCTTTGCTATAACAACAGCAATTAGTTTAATAAGGAAAAACATTTATAAGCAACTAAATTGAGTAAATTTTTAAACCAACCTATTTAAAAGACCTACCAAATCTATAGCTCGAGAAAAAAACAACCCAACTCAATTCATAGGCTATTCGCTGCAAAAACTTTACCCCATTTTTGCAATGGCCTTTTCAAAGTTTCAGTTGTCTCGGTCACAAAATTTTCAATCATCTTACCCTTTTAAATTTGCCATTCTTTCAGTTCCAACCATTTTAATTTTATGCCTATTTATTATTCCTTTAGTCTCTGCAATAAATTTACCTAAATTTCAATCATCAATCACAATTGACCCCCAAGCAATAGAATCCTTCCCATTAATATATTCTCAAACTGGCCATGAAAATATGGTTTCAAGCCGAGAAATTCAGAACGAAATTGAAAATCATCCAACAATAGAAGATATGGATCCTTTTTTACCATTTCAAACACGACTTGTTACCGGCTTAGGGATTACAATGGCATCAATCTCGTGGTTTGGCTGTTTGTTTGTCTTAAAAACAGTTTTCAAATTGTGGATTTTTAATGAAAAAAAACCATTGTCAATGTCATTGACTGTGCCTACATTTTTGGCTTTGAATAGTCGGTATTAGTTGGAGGAATTTTTAGTCAGATTTATGAGTTTTTACTTACCGCTTTTTGAAACTTTAGGCTTTTTCCTACATATTCAATCTATTATTAGTTTGGTAAGTTCTTTTTGGCCTAAATTTGATGGGTTTAAAGCAAGGCGTCTTTAAGTTCTGTCTTACCTATGTAAAAATTTTCTGAAATTAATAGGGATACCCATTTATTCACCTTCGTCTCTGGAGACCGGATATTTGTTCCAGTTTAGCTAGTTTGTTTTATACGTTTTTTGGAATGGATTTCGCGTTATCTATTACAGTTGCTACCATCGTGTATCTAAGAGGTGTATAAATAATATTAGTAATTACATATGACTGATTGATTTTCAGTTTTCAATCTCAACTTTTTTATCTTGCCTTTTCTATTTTATAGTACATTGGAAAAAACACATATCTCTCGGCGTATACAATTGGAAATTGCTCACCGCTCAGCTACTGTTATTTGTAATCGCAAAAATTTTTTGAATCGAAACAGAATAATACTGTTGGGAATGGAACATATTGGTAAATTTTCTTAGGTTTCTCATTTATACAAGATAAAATTTAACTTTGCCCTAATTAATTCCCAGGTGCTATGCCGGATTCGATAAATAGAATACTTCACTTGTCACCCCGATTAATTGTTTTATTGTCGGTACACATTTAATGGCAATCTGTTGGATCGCGTTCTGTTATAACCGCACTTTACATTACACATTATTAGTTAAAAGAGATCAAAATTTTCAAAAAGATGAACGATCAATAGATAGGAGAGATCGAGTATCCCAAGTTCGACGAATTATAAATCAGAAAATTTTTACCTATTGTTTTTTATATGTGTATCAATTGGTGAGTCCAAGTCAAATTATTTAATTAGAAGGAAGAATTTTATTTCTTACCTATAAGAAATCTTGAGTTGAATTCTAACGAGTTTTTTCTGAATAGATATCTGCAATGATGTTCATTCTAATGAGCCGAATAAAGGAGGTTTTTCTATCTTTTTCTTAATGTTGTTAATGCCGTTTTGCTGTTAATTTTGCTGTTTTGTGGAAGTCAGTGAACTTCCAATAAGCTAATTTTTCTTCCAAAGTATCTCTCTATACTTTAGACTATGTATGCTGTTGGGCTTATGTTGGAATGGCCAATTCCATACCAATTACTGGTATAGTTACTTTGTGGTAAAAGTCAATTTTTTTATAGAAAAATCTCGTTTGTAAGCTTTTCAAAATGTGTATAGTTACTTTGCTATAAAAGTTAACTTTTTTACAAGAAAATTTTGTCTGTAAGCTTTTCAAAAATGTATGTAGTTACTTTGCTGTAAAAGTCAACTCTTCTACAGAAAATCTCGACTGTAGGCTACCCAATGATATAAAAGAATTTAAAAGAAAATAAAAAGAATAAACTAAAAAAAGAAATAAGAAATATGTCAAGAAAGTCATTTCGGATCCAGATCTGGAAGTTACTAATGGTTACTGAAATTGGTAACTAATCAATTTCAACTATTAGTAGAGAATGGTTAATTTTAAACAGTAATAGTTAAGGATTTTCATGCTTTTGTTTTTGAAATAAGTTTTATTGCAATTTATAAGGAAGATACTATTTTGATTCATTCTGAGTAAGATAAGATGATTTGATACATTTTCTCGAAAAGAGAAGTTTTTCTTTTATATAACTTGTTGTACTATTATATAAGCTAGCACTCTTTTTTTTCTTAATATTTTGGCAAACTAAAAACATATTTTGTCGAACTATAAGTTATTTTTGTAAACTATAAATTATTTTAGTGAACTGTTGAATATTTCATCAAATTACTAAATATTTTGGCAAATTCTAAATGTTGTATAGTTTGGCATATTGCATAATCTAATCATCACAATTTGGTTACATTTTTGTTTTGTATAAATCAGGTTATTAATTGACTAATAATTTGGATAATTTGATAAAGTAATAAGTAATAAATTGAAATGATAATATATGCTACTTAATAATATAAGTTATAAGGATAATTTTATGCTAAATAATATTTCAAATTTCGGTTGGTAATAATGGGTTACAAATAATTACATTTAGTAATAAAAAATAAGAAATTAATTATTAATTATTTTTTTGTTTAGCTTTATTGATTAAACAAAGATAAATAAAGATTTTTTTTCAGCTATATATATATTATTCAAAAATAAAAAGTAACAAAAAGTGATTAACCAATATTAAACTATATAAAAATACTCTTATTATAATTAATGAATTAAAATATCATATAAATCATATTTATTTCAAATTAATTATAATTAGGTTTGAGCTAAAAGATAAAAAGGCAAGATATAAGTGTAGATTACCTAAATTTAAGTCTAATATTAAGTTAAATAAACATTTTAAATTAAAGTATAGAGAAAAAAGTAATAATTATAATAATAATAATAGCAATACCTCGGATTTAAATTGTTTTAATTCCAATTTATCTGGTTTTAATACTTTACTTATTAAAAAAGATACACAAGTCTAAAAAAAGCAAAATAAAAACAGGATATATTATTGTAT